TGGGGGGGACACTTTAGATGTGAATCGACTCTAAACAACCCTCTCACTGGGCTGCCACGCGGTCCCGCTCACCACGGCCCTGGTCACGACAGTCTCTGAGCACATCAGCATGTTAGTGACGAGTGCTGACTGCTACATCTGCAGTTCCAAGGCTAGCACGTCGCCAGTGCGGCTGGACTCGCGCTTCTCCTTTCGAGTCTACAGGCCAGAGGAGGCCAGAGCCAGAGGCTTGGCCGGAATCGTTCAAAGGGTTTCCTTCGGTGGTCGCGGCTCTCGAGACTCCTTCGCCTCCTTCGGCTCCCTGGCACAGGGACGTGTCACGGCCGCCTCCGTTCTACTCCTTCGGGCCGCCTCCGGTCTTCAGACGGACGCCGCGGCTTGGGCTCTCGACCTCAGCAACCCCAGGCAGAGCAGGGCACAGCCACTTCGCAATTATCTGAGCCCGCGACTGGCTGACGACATGCCGCCTGCGTGCAAGGTGCGAAGTTTCAGCACGGCCTTCGGCACCGTGAGAGAAACAGAAAGAAAAGCACCTCGAAGCGAGCCGGAGCAGGTTCACCGGACCTTGCCAGATCAGGGGCGTGATCACTCCTGGTGAAGCACTCACTGGAGTATCATGCTACAGGAGAGAAGCCAGCGACCAACAGATGTTGTCCCCAAAAAGCAAGTTGCAGAACTAGTCTGCAGTGTCGCGGAGAGACAGCAGTCGTTGTGAAAACATATGCTTCGCAACGTCTTGACAAAGCATAAGGGAGAGTTGCAAAATCAAGTCGAATCACAGGTAGCACCGCAGTTGCCTCCTGAAGCCCCATGGCGAAGACAGGGATCAGCCCCGGCTTACACCCCTCCGTGCCGCAAGATCAGAGTGGACCACATGTTTCACGAAGCAGCTATGTCATGGCTTGCCAGATGTGTCAGCAGCTAGAGTCCGGAGTCACCTGCGTGCTCACCAGCTTGCGGCTGTACCGTGACGGTTCAAACAAGAACTCTTGTTGCTGATTCTTGCAGGGGATCTGTTTTGCTAGTATGGTACATGCAAAATCCGGTGTGTTGCTGATGCATGCCGCAAAGAATGAACCTACCATGTCCCATCATGTGGCTGTTGAAAGCGGCCAGGTGCGATGCTGTCGCATGGACGAAAGTCTGCATGGCCACGTACCATATCTGACTAAACTGTGATAATTCTCGACCAGCTGCCACGCCAACACATAGGAAGATGCCCCATGCAAGGATAAAGGCTCCTGGCTTGCTTGCAAGCTTCTACAGGTTTTCAAAATTTCAGACTAGTGCAGCTATCGTTCGTATGGCCCCGGTCGCTCTGAACAAGAACGCCCTGTGGCATCTCCGGCCACCACAATCCTTGAAGGCTGAAGTGGCGGAATCTGGCCAGTGCCTCTGACTCGGCCTGTGGAAGCCTGGATTCGTGGAAAGCCTCCTCCACTTCCGTCCAGAGGAAGAAGAGAAGGAGACAAGGGAGAGAGAAGAAGAAAGGAAGCAGAGAAGAGAGAGAGAGTAGAGGAGAGTCGGAGAGAGAGGAGGAGAGGGAAGAGAGAGAGAGAGAGAGAGAGAGAGAGAAAGAGATGGAGAAAGAGAGAGAGAGAAAGAGAGAGAGAGAGATAGAGAGAGAGATAGAGAGAGAGAGAAGAGAGAGAGATAGAGAGAGAGATATAGAGAGAGAGATATAGAGAAGGAGATGGATAGAGAAAGGCAAAGAGAGACAGGGAGAGACAGAGAGAGACAGACGGAGAGCTAGAAACCGGTCCCCAAATCAACTACTGTCCTCTACTCCTCTGGCTTTCGGCCTCGGCCGATAACCTTGGTCAAGAACAAGAAAACCACTGCACATGCCGCAGATTTCGAAACGGAATGCATGAGGCCGCTACCAAGCGAGTCGCGCAAGCACGGCTCGTCATCTTCGACATGCTTTAGCATTCCTTGCCTTTTGTGCGACAGTCCTTTCGAATATGCCAAGCTTAAAATTTTGATGTTCTTCTGCAAAAACTTGTTAAGTTCTAAGACTGCATCGGGCACCCACATCTAAAGGGTGGGGAACCGATAATCAAGTGCATAAATGTTTCATGGAATGCACAGCAAGGTACGAACATGGATGGCTAACAGCATTGTCGACCTGAGTCTTAGCTGGCCGTAGTTTCTTGAGCTTTTCGGACGGCGATGGAAGCATGACCAACTGTCTCCTGATTGCATGGAGGACGTTGAAGGAATTTTGTTTATGCAACCAATATCCTGAACAAAGCATTTCCATGCCACTGATGAGTTCGATGTGTTCCTACGGACGGCCACGAACACTGCACGTATCGTTTTTGTCCGTTTCACCTCGCTTCCCTTTTGCGTATCAGGGTTCACTAAACCGTTGAAGACCCGCAAAACAGTGGCCAAAAATATACAACGTTTCACAAATGTGCCTTTGTGGTTTTGCGTCCCACATCACTGTGCTGCTTCGATGGCCGATCAATGACTTCTACCGCTGCTGCTGCACGCACCTGCGATCACACAACTGCAAGGTAGTTTGACATCTGGAAGCATAAATTTGACTTTCAACAGTAAACACAAAACTCTTTGCAACACAAAGAAACCATTTGCTTGTTTCCTTTGCATACAAACAACACAACATTTTTCCTCTGTTGGTGCATACTTGGTTGCACAGATCTGCTGACGTTCCGTCGGCGCAAAAATGGAACCTGAATGGCCAAAAAAATGAGTTTTCTTGTGCTGAGTTAGCACGCCCATTTTGCAGCCGTCTAGTGGTCAAAAACAAGTGTCAATTTTTTAAAAGCTCGCAGCATACCGGCAAGAGTTTCAAGGTGTATAGGAGCTTCTTGTTTGGTTTTTATGCTGAATCAAAAGGCTTATGGAGTCTTACTCTCCGATGTGCGAAGCTTGCGCAAGTCATCTTGATCGATCTACGAACTCTACCCAACCTAGGAACCCAACTCTGTCCTATGCTTCAAGACTTCTGTTCAGAAATGTGCAACAAGAAAATCATGATAGAAGCAAATTTTTGCAACAAAAAAAGTTCTAGCCACAAACGTAAAGCAAAAAATTCTTTTTCTGGCTTACAAAAATCAGTCACAAATCGTACTGTACTGCGGGAGCACTTGCAGGCCACCATTCGCATTGGTTTGACGACTTGCAAGGTTGACCGCGGAACCACGTGTTTTGTCAGCGTGTGCTGCTGTTCCATGAAAGTCATCAACTAAGAGCCATTGTTGCTCAGAAAAAGTCCCGGCCAGAATGGCAGCCAAGCTGTCCCCCGCGAGCTCAGTCGGGCAAGACTATTTTTTCGCGTTCTTTTATTTTCTCTGCACGTTCGTTTTCTGCTTTCTTAGTTGTTCAGCTTTCTGAGTTGTCCATCTAGTTTCCTGGTTTTCATGCTACAATAATTCTATTTGCTGCATTTAGATTTACGTCTTGGTTCTGAGTGCCGATTCTTTTGCAATTTTGGTGTGCTGCAAAAGCTCTAAGACATGAGTTTCTCTTCAGGAGGTACAAGACTTGACAAGCTTTTGATCGAACCATTTGCCTCCAAAACCAGCTTCAACCAGTTGGCATCAAACAATTCAAAAAATTTGACTTGCTGTGACTTGCAAACTCTGGTCAAAGTTCACGAAAGAATCTGTGTTTGCAAGTTACAACCACTTCGTCGAATCCATTGGGAGTGATGATTGTCACAACGACCGACCATCAAGTTGCTGGTCAATGCGATTGCGATTGTCTTGGTCATTTCAAAGGTCGCCTTTTTTGGGCTCTGCCAGTCGAACAGTCACGGGGGGTCGATCTCGACCACCAAGTTGTCCCTGGTCGATGGTTGGATGTATTGGAACCCCATAGGATGCCGTCTATGTGAACCTTTCTCCAGAATGTCTACGTTGCTCAGTTTTTTCTGACACGGGTGACACTCTGATCCCGACTCGAAAGGTCAGGGGATCGTCACTGACGTAGCAAGTCTTACAGCATTTCTAAATTTGGGAATCCAAGCTTCATAATACTTACATTTACAGACACTTATTTCTTCTGGTCAATTCGCGAGTCTCTTCCTATGTGAACCAGGTTGAGGGCCTAACTCATGGGGGGTGCGAACAGACCTCGATGCCTCGTACAATTCTTGGGCGTCATGATAAGAGCTATGAGAGCGACTATGGCCATGTTTCAAAGGGTATCACAGGCCTGCTTGACCGACAAAACTTTGCCAACATTTCATCTACGTTTCTACTTTGCTGAGTGTACAAAGTATGTTTACTTTGGAGTGCTCTCCCTGACTCGCAACTCTGGCTCAATAAATTGCCATAAGCCGAAAGCTTACGACTCAGTTGTAGGCGTCTGATTCAGGAGTCTGAACCATTCCCGCTGCACAAAGATGACGGAGCGCCATCTGTGAAAAGAGAGTGTCAGTGCGCATTCCTGCAAGGGGAATAGGTCGTCAGTGAAAAGATCAACCTCGACTTCAACAATTGGCAGCCACAGTCAATACGTATAACTTCGGTGAGGTGAGCTACCAAGACAACATCAGCAACAAACCCTCACGCAATCGACATCACCCAAGTTATTGCGACAGAATCACCGGGCCCGAATGCATTGAACGTTGACCGGGAGATGTGTTTTTTCCGACCGATTCTGAACCGATTGCTGGCTTCCAGTATTGGTTTGAGCTGGTCAAGAACCCAACACATGACGCCATGGAGAAGTCCTGGACCTGGATAACCATGTTTGTCCACACGAAGGGGACTCGCATTGAAAGCCAGATATCTTAGCCTCCGAGCGTCTGGACAGCTAAGCACCACAGTTCATGTGATAAAAAGTGTGTATATGTTGGGATATGGTGTGGGCTAATCATGCCAGAATGACGCCATGACTGCAGTGACGTGGAAAGCGTGGATCGTCGTGGCCGCCTTGGGCTGATTGACTTTTGCCAGATCTGTTGAATTGTGGCGACTTACTACATGAAGCCAAGGGTCTATTTTCGTCCAGTTCACCGTCATAGAATGGGAATATGGGTTGCCGGCCAAGATTTCTCAATGTGTTGTTCCGTGGGCCAAGTCCTATTTCATAGAAGTTGCAGGCAAGCAGAGCGTGGCACCGACTGTTTGCAAGCGACCAAGATTGCAAGCTTGCACCTCAGTGTCAAAGCATGGCCATGGTTCTGCAGTTGGCTGTTCCAATGATCAGTTGAATGCTACCGGTGATGCCACCAGCAACCCAAACAAGCAGCACGACAAGGTATGCATTGAAACGAACATCGTACCCTTGTCTGTTGAAACATCGTTTTGTTTGACATGGTCGGATCTAGTTTAAGTTTTGTCTCGTTGTGGCTGCCGTATGCTACTTATAGTTTCCATATCGTGGGTGGTTCGGCTGTACTGTGTCTGGCCACTAGACTCAGGTTGGGCCAGATTCAATCCGGGAATGGGGATGTTTTGGAAGTTGTTGTCAGCGGTTCGAAGCCTTGCAATCCGTTTTCTTGGGTGTTGCGTTTTGCAGCCTGCCAGCTATGTGGCTGTGACACGTGCAACCAGGAGTACTGATGAGCTTTCTTCAGCTTGTCACCTCGTGTAAGCCAAGTTGGGTGCGTGTCGCCGAGGATTGTCATTGTCGGGTTGAACAATGCCGGCAAGACCACCATTTTGTACAATCTACATCTTGGCCAGGCGCAGTTTGTTGGTTCGTGAAATATTTTCATGGATTCTTACATGATGACCGTGGATCGAGGTTGTTTTGACGCAGCCAACTATTGGAAGCAACGTGTGCTACCCGATTCCTCGACATTCTGCTCGCTTCTCTGGGGCTGACTTGCCAGCCGAGGTAGAAGAAGTCAAGCACGAAAACTTGACTTTTCAGGTTTGGGATCTTGGTGGGCAGGAGTCTGTCACACTCCCCATCATCTTGTCGTGGAGCGAGTTCTGTTGTTTTCGCGTAGAGCTGCTCAAACAGCTGCCGACAGGAGAGTCTGCGAGCCAACTGGTCTACGTATTTCGAGGAGTTGGCAGCACATATTCTCGGCTTGCAGCTTTGCAGAAACGTTCGCACTTGGCAGGAGGCTGACGCCATTATATTTGTTGTTGACAGCAACGACCAGGAGGGAGGAGGTTTGTTTTCCATGCTGGAAGAACATGAGCACACCTTCCAGGTTCTAGAGGTTCGAATTTTGTTAAAACGAATGCCTGGGCTGTGCATGGCCATTTTTGGCCACAACTTGTGAGATCAGTTCCTGGTGACATGCTTGGTTTTCATTGCTTGAAGGGACTGATCATTCCAGAGTCCACTACACCTTGCAGTTCGGTTGTTCCTTCCGAGGCTACGTGGTCGATTCTTGCGAAACTTGAGTTTCAACGGCAACAGATTGTAGGCCCCGTAGTGGCCATCACATTCTCAAGCATGGCCGTCTGTACTGTGTGAACTGAATACGGCAACTGCAACGGCCACAGCAGTGAGCATAAACTAATTTTGCATGCACTCTGCTCTCTGTGTTGGTTCACTGTTCGGACTCGCGTGCAGGAAAACATGGTTCTGGCCAAGATGGAGTTGTTCAATGTCGTTCTGCACGAGGAGCGCAGCACAATCTCGAACTTTTTGAACATGGAGCCAGGCACGGCAATCCTGCCGGTGTTTCACATTGGAGAGGTTCTGAATTCTGAAGTGGGATGCTTGAGTAGTGAGTTTCGTGTCATACATAATCATGGTTGATATAAGGCAGATTGTAGCTGGAAAAGGGATAACTGCCTCCGGAGATGTAATGAAGCACGCTGGCATCCCAAAAAGGGCACATACAGCCGCAAGAGCCTCTTGCGTGGGAGGACCTGAAACATGCTTGCCTTCTAGTTCTTGCCAACAAGCAGGACACTGTTTTCTCCAGGATGGTGTTCGCCTTCGCTGTGCCTTGCTGAAATTGCTTGGGAAGGATATCCAGGGCAGCCGCAATGCTGGCCAGATCGCACAAGACCTCTCGCTGCACAAGATCCTGACCCACGAGTGGCAGGTTGAGCCGGGGTCCGTGGAATGAAAGAGCGACGGATCATGCTGAGTGCCATGCTGCAGATTCAAAGTTGCTGTGCTTTGACGGGAGAAGGCCTTCGTGAGGCGCTGCTGTCATCTCGTAACTGCTGTCAGCTGTGCGTCCAGTATGTGTTCCACCGGCGCAGCTGAGTTGATCCATCGTGTCAGCAATGAACCATTTAGCTTCGGCACGAATATTTGCACGGAAGGGTTGTTGCCTTTGATTGAGACACCTGGCGACTTGTGGCTTCACTTCGCGAGCACTTCTTCATGCACAGCCTGTGTCTGTGTATTGCGCATGCACTTCACGGCTTCGCAAGTTGGAGAAGTCGTTTCTGACAGCAAATCCGCGATGCTTTGCAGGGAATGAGCTGGATTGCTGGCAGGATCCGAGCATGGGGCTAAGTTCTCGCGCCATTCGGTCAAGTGCAAAAAGCTTTGTCAGTACATACATAAACTACACTACCTGAAGGCACACCGCAGCGGAGAGGCATCGGGACCACGTTCGCAGCAAACTGTGAGCTAGAAAGCCGCTGACCTGCACTAGAACATCAATGCCTATCTTCTTTCGCAGTTTGTCGCTCCAAACACTGCTTTTGAATGAGTGATCGTCGTTCAAGGCAACCGCCATCCTGTCGACCGCGATCTTTCAAGCCAAGTGCAGCGTTAATGCTTATCGTTTCACCGGCCTCAACGTGAGAGGAAAATAAGCTATGTCGCAGAAACATCGATCTCCCGGAGACAATCCTTTCACAGGGCCTGGCTTTTCATATTGTCTGCAGGATCTTACAGTGTGTGAGAGAAGCTTCGGGAATGCTCATCTAGTTGTCGACAGGCTTCATTTGGTTTCCAGTCGAAGCTACACGCATTACTGAAGGTGCAGAGACTTCCCGTTCCCGAGTGTTGTGGCACCCAGCGTTGGATAGCCACAAGATAATTGAAAGGGAAAATGAGTGTTAGTGTCAGTGTGGTTAGTGTTAGTGTTAGTGTTAGCTGTTAGTGGTCGTGGTAGTGGTAGTGGTAGTTTTGCCGACGACGCTGCTGCTGCTGCTGATGTTGTTGTTGCTGCTCTCGTTGTTCTACCTAACTGCAATACTATGACAAGTAACAAGTACTGGTTCTACGGATACTGATACATTGTGCAAGTATTGCTCGGCAAGCTTCACTCGTATTATGACACTTCGCTTTTTTTCTTTTGTCAGTTTGCTTTTGAACAGTACTGACTGTTATGGTTGTTCACCGTCGTAGACTTCAGCAGAGGAGGAGGAGGACCAGCAATAGGAACAGGAGGAGGAGTAGAGGCTACTGCTCGTTTTCCGGCACTTGCGAAGCCTACGGCTACCGCTAGGAATGATCCGAATATTGTCGAAGCTTACATTACGTTCGCAGTGTTTGGACCATTCCAGCGGTCGATGGAAGCTGACAGCTGACCCTTATCTCGAGCTAGCAGCAACCAAAGCAACAACCAGCAGGCATTGCATAGAGGGGCTAACAAGGCAACTGACTCCAATGACTCCAAGTTTCTTGAACACGAAGCAGTGTTGTATCTTCTTCGATTGTCCCCTCTCTCACCTGCAAGTTTCAGCACCCGCCGATGCGGAGACACAGCCAATTAGGGCCACGTTTTTGACGGTTGCATCCTAAGCATGAACGCAGACCGATGCGATGAACGCATGCGGAGTGGATTTGCGGGAGCGAGAAGACCGGCCTGGGCCGTTTACGTCCATGCGACAAATCGTTGAGACGTGTGGCAGCTTGTTGAACAACTGACATGGAAGAGATCATAGACTGGGATCGGCTCAGGTCAGATCGCGTTGAGGCATCCCTTTATCATCGCTGCTGGTGAATTATGAGTCTTGAGTTGTTCAGGACTTGTCACAACCTTCATCTTCCAGGCAAACATCATAAGCTGGCTAAGCGACGTGTTTCCAAATGGAGTGTAATGTTGCATAGCTGCAGCCACAGGTCATCTGATTCGAACTACCTAGACCAGGCGGAGCATGAAGGCAGGCGGCTGTGAAGCGAAACATGCACTGAGCCTGAGGAATCCAAGGTGCGTCGACCGATCCGGCCGCCACGCCCCGCCCTTCTTGGTCGTGCCCCCGAGGACCACCTCTGAGAACCGTCTGTCGTGTATGATCAGGCGCCTCGCTACTCAAAGACTCAGAGAGCCTTCCTGGTGGTCGCTCCCTTGCAGGAGCCACGCCACCCAGGAAGCTTGCGGGCTGACGTCGCGGAGGCCTTTCTCAGGCATGTGGCAAAAATAATACGCTGTTTAAGATCTCGTCGCGAGGAACATGTTTCAATAAGCCTGCGTCGCGGCCCAAGTCTGCAATGCTTCCATCGCGTCGACACCGACAGAGCCGAGGTGGGAACTGGGGAAGCAAAGCTCCGAAGGACGGACCTGCTCTGACCGCACTGAGCTCATGCGAAGTTCCCAGAAGCTTTGCGTTGACATTAGGCGCAATTGTGATCACCTCAGTTGATGGACCTGTCCGACGACATGCCGTCAAGTCACCAGCATCACGTCGCAAGGCAGCCGGAAACTTGGGGCAAGCGCCAGGCAGGTTAGCCCACTCATACTGCATCTGCACAAACCCGCAAATGTCTTGTCGCCAGGCAGACTCGAGAGCCAAGGGAGTCGTGGGAGCGCTGAGCAATGTCGTGCAAGAGCAGTTGCAGATGAAGCACCCCGTAATCTGTTGTCCATGCAACATTTGCCGCGGTTATGATGTGAACTCATTGATTGCATGTCCGCTTGGCAAAGAGTTTCAAGCCTAGCTGTGGCTTCGATCACTTAACCGATGCTCTGAAAATGTGGCCTGCCTGAAGTTGTGGAAATGGTGTTTTATTGCTGCACTGAGTGCCACTGGACGCTTTCAATCATGGGCGGAAAGCACCGGTGGAGACTCGGCATTTTGCAGCAAAGCCACGCTGCTGCATCTGAGCCTCTGCCACTTTACAAAGACAGCTCTGAGCTGTTTCGCGCAACTTTGCATCTTTTGGCTGATGGGTATTGATGTTGTTTTGAGCGTTTACGTTATGTTGTGTGTTTGATTTCCCCATTCGGTCGTCGGAGTACAGCCCCAAGCGGGCGAGCAAGCAAAAATGAAACACACTATATCGAGTGTAGCCCAATGTAGCATGCAAAGTTCGTCTACAGGTGACAGCATGCAATGAATGATGTCAGCTTATGCCCAGCAAAGCTTTCACCCATATAGTATACCTAGAGCATAGGCGCGACGCCATCATCTCTAGTCACATATGGCACTATATGACAACTTGTATTCAGGTGTGGCAGTATGTGTATTGTTGTAGAATGAAGCACGGAATCATCTGTACATATCTGTACATACATACATACGTACATACGTACATACATACATACGTACATACATAAAAGAAAGATACTCATGGAGTAGCCGGTGCGGGTGCGGCCGATACGAAAGCCAGTGCATGGCCATTGTCTCGGGTCTTTTGTTTTCGAAATCAGAGACCTTCGTAGGCTGGCCTAGGGCTGTGGAGGGCAAGATCCAGGTTCTCCAGGCCGTGCTTTTGAGCAGGTACGGTCTGGCAATCGAGGTGGACGACTTCACGCGCAAGGTGGGCCAGGAAAGCCGCCAAGGATTGACAGTCGCTTGCCGGACTCAGGTGGAAAGCCTTTGCCGTGCCCAAAGCCTCGGAGGCCTGAACGAGGCCTTGGATCCCTGCGACGTCGTCCTGGCCCCGGCGAACAGGTCCGTTGGAGTCCTTTCGCTACTATGGCCTCGGGGCCCGAGGTGTCCTCTTTGAACAACCTCAAAGACATGCGCTTCCGAACTCGGGACGCCGGGAAGCCCACACCAGCAGATGATCACAATCAAAACATGCCGACTCCGCGCCCTAGGGAAAGAGAAGCCTGGCACTACAACTTGAGCCTCACGTCCTCGAAACATTCGAGGAGTTGTCGAGCGAGGTACCGGCAAGCATTGTCTCGGTTTGGTCTGGCTCATGTGCCAAGCCCAAACGAGGTCAGTGTGATGATGGGCACAGCGTGTGCCATTGCATCGGCACGCCCTGTGGTGCAATTTGGCCGTTGAAGAATAACTAGTGCAGTCTGCAGCAAGCATGTTGCCGCAGGTGTATCGGCTTCATTCTTGGCGAGCAGTTGCCGTCTTCCGTCAGGCTCTTCCAGATTGCCGAACATATGTGTGACACTTTCACTGTCAGTTGAGGATTTTAAAATGCACTGCTCTTGCAGGACTATGCTCGACCGGGTGCTTTAGTTGGAAGATGTCCATGCCTTGAGATATGTCCTGCTGCATCGTTGCCACTAGCGGGTGCAAGGTTCCGTCTTCACAGAGCCTCTCATTTCTTTCACGGCCCAAGACTTTCGCTCTGCTTCGATCTGAGACGACTCGTGATTGCGTCGTAGATGCAGAGCCGAGACAGATCTGCTCGGGTGCTGAAAGGCTGTCATGCTCGGCATCACAGTGACAGAGGCCGACTTCCCAGCAGTGCCGGCAGCAGTGCCACTCGATGGTCTTGCCACAAGTTCGGCAACGATCAAGCTTATTATAGTGACTGGCTGCTGATGCCGCCGCCGCCGCCACCGCCGCCGCCACCGCCGCCGCCACCGCCGCCGCCACCGCCGCCACCGCCACAGCCACCACCACCCCTACCACCCCTACCACCACCACCACCGCCACCAACAACCACCACCACCACCACGGACGCCAGAGTATCGACAGGGGACCGCCAGAAACAGCATGCATTGAGATTTCTCCGGCGCACGCGCCCCTGATGTGCTATCCGAGACCGGGCGACCTCCAGGAACGAAGCAGCAGCAAGACAGGGTCGGCACGTACAACTTCTCCTCTACTATTATTATTATTACTACTACTACTACTCCTCCTCCTCCTGCTGCTGCTGCTGCTACTGTTACTACTACTACTACTACTACTACTACTACTACTACTACTACTGCTGTTACTGCTACTGCTACTGCTACTGCTACTGCTACTACTACTACTACTACTACTACTAGTGCTGCTGCTACTGCTACT